GATTTTTTGTTGCATAAAACTTACCGAACAATTTATTTATGTGTCCTGTAAGGAAAAAAACAAAATCATACAAAAATATGTTAGAGAACATATCTTCCCCACACAGAAATTCCTCCTTGGTCCTCACTTGACAACAGGAAAGTTAAAATCAAGGACAAATGTACAACATAATGAATGTATTTAAAACACAAAGCTGAATGTTGCTAAGAAAGTAAATCTTAAGCATTTTCATCAAAAGTAAATAGAAGTTTGTGACACATGGGGGATCAATGGGAGTATACCTACTGTGGTGATCATTTTGCAATATATATGCATAAAAACTTTAGGGTGTATACTTAAATTTATACGATGGTATATGTGAGCTGTCTCATACAATTACATTCAAAATGGTGCGTGTAAGAAAACAAAATCTGAGGTCAATGCTAAGTTCAGTAATGGTGGGTTTGGTTGTCATCACTTACCTTTCTGTTGCTTTATTTGTTCTGTATGAAAAAACCAAAGAAACACCACAAAGCACATTAGTTAGTGTTTCCCTCTCCCTACCCACAGAGAATCTACTTCAGATCTTGGTCCCATTTGACAATAGATATTGAAAACTACAGATATATGTACAGCATAATAGAGTTAATGTGCAAATTTGAAGATAGATCTCAATCATCCTCACCAAAGTAAATAAGGGTATAATATATGAGGGAAGGATGGTAGCTATTCCATTGTGATAATCACATTGCAACTCACATACATGTCAAATCTTTATGGTGTACATTTAAAATTTATACATTATGTATCAATTATTCCAATAGTACTCTGTGTGTGAGTAGATTAGGGTGATGAACAATGTCTGAGACTAATGCTTAACTCAATCAGAGAGGGGTTTTTGCACATCATTTACCTTTCTCTTGAAGTAAGGAATCTATATAAAGAAAAAACAAAAACCAAAACAAATGGGTGTTAGTGTCTTCTACATACCCATAGAAAACCCACTTCAGATCTTGACAGTTCCTGACAGAACTGTCAGGATACACAATTGTATCAGTTGTCTCCACAGAACTCTGTTGTCGGTGTGGCAGTTATGAGGGAGCAGAGGGAAGAGCAATGTGAACCGAATCTGAGACCCATGCTGGACTTATCAGAGTGGGTTGTTTTGTATATTACTTACAATTCTCTTCCTGTAATTGTTCTGTATGAAAAACAACAAAGAAATCAAAACAAAAGTATGTTAGATTGTGCCTTCCTCTCCTTACCCATAGAATATCTGCCTCAGATCTTAGTCCCTTTTGACAACAAAAATTGTAGGTCAAGACATAAGGTACAACATGATGACTGTTCTTTACAACAACTTTGAAGGCTGAGAGTGAACCCTATAACATTCTCAGCCAAAGCAAAATAAGAAGTTTATAATAAGTGAGGGATGGATGATAACTATTTTATGGTGGATATCACATTGAAAACATATGTATATCTAATAATTTTGGTGTACATTTAAAATGTATCAGAATATATATATATATATATTCATAAATTATCTCAGGAGAATAATTTGATTATGAATTTGTGTGAAATAAAATAGTCTGAGATCATTATTAAATTGAATTGTAATGATTTTTTGTTGCATAAAATTTACCTAACAATTGATTTATGTGTCCTGTAAGGAAAACAAAATCATACAAAAATATGTTAGAGAACATATCTTCCCCACACAGAAATTCCTCCTTGGTCCCCACTTGACAACAGGAAAGGTAAAATCAAGAACAAATGTACAACATAATGAATGTATTTAAAACACAAAGCTGAATGTTGTTAAGAAAGTAAATCTTAAGCATTCTCATCAAAAGTAAACAGAAGTTTGTGACACATGGGGGATCAATGGGAGTATACCTACTGTGGTGATCATTTGCAATATATATGCATAAAAATCTTTAGGGTATATACTTAAATTTATACGATGGTATATGTGAACAGTATCATATCATTACATTCAAAATGGTGCATGTAAGAAAACAAAATCTGAGGTCAATGCTAAGTTCAGTAGTGGTGGGGTTTGCTGTCATCACTTACCTCTCTGTTGCTGTATTTGTTCTGTATGAAAAAAACCAAAGAAACACCACAAAAGCACGTTAGTTAGTGTTTCGCTCTCCCTACCCACAGAGAATCTACTTCAGATCTTGGTCCCATTTGACAATAGATACTGTAAACTACAGATATATGTACAGCATAATAGAGTTAATGTGCAAATTTGAAGATAGATCTCAATCATTCTCACCAAAGTAAATAAGGGTATAATATATGAGAGAAGGATGGTAGCTATTCCATTGTGATAATCACATTGCAACTCATATATATATCAAATCTTTATGGTGTACATTTAAAATTTTTACATTATGTATCAATTATTCCAATAGTACTCTGTGTGTGAGTAGATAAGGGTGATGAACAATATCTGAGACTAATGCTTAACTCAATCAGAGAGGGGTTTTTGCACATCATTTACCTTTCTCTTGAAGTAAGGAATCTATATAAAGAAAAAACAAAAACCAAAACAAATGGGTGTTAGTGTCTTCTACATACCCATAGAAAACCCACTTCAGATCTTGACAGTTCCTGACAGAACTGTCAGGATACACA